AGAAATATACCAGACTATGTGCTTTGAAAAGGTATTCCTGAAAGAAAATGAAAGAACATCTAGTTTTGCCCAGAGAGTAGCAATAGTTTAAAGTCATGATGTCCAGGGCTGACTTTTGACGGGTTCACCTTGGTTCATCTGTATTCATTGGTACGGCCGGAGCTTTTCTGATTGGCTGGTGCCACTGCTCAAACAAGTAGGTACATATTTTGAACATTATCCTGGGCTATGTCATGGTTTCTATATCTATTATGTGAAAGGAGTCTTAGAAAAGATTCATGTTTTCAGCCGGACCTGTATATACAAGTAGACACTCATATATTGTTCATAAATATTTGTTAAATGTTTTACTATTGAACTCATAGCAACAACCAGAGTTTCATTTCCTACAATGATTTTTTTCTTTCCTCCCTTAGCGGAGATGAACAAGAAAAAATGTATTACCTGAACCTCCTGTCTGTTTCATATGATTCACTCCCACATCTTGACTTCATTTCCCGTTAGTGTCCCGTGGTCCAGCTGGTCTGGTCTACTCGGTAGGTCCCATATCTGCCTGAACATTTACTTGCTTTGTGCCTTTGCCTGTGTCTCCGCTCCAAAGGCTCTCATAACATGGTTCTTACTCAGAACCGAGCTCCAAGCCTATCTCCTCTTGAGGTTTCCCCTAGGACGCCAGCTAAAGTCAGTATTCTCTCCCTCGTAGTCTTCTAGTACTTCTTAGCTCTCCTACTACTTAGTGATGATTTGTTGTTTAGGAATGTTTTATTATATAATTGTATTTATAGTTATTTTCCATGTGCATATGTGAGTTACCCGTTAAAAGTGCAAACTCATTGAAATTTAAAATTATGAAAATGGACTCCAACACTCAGCACAGCAGCTTACAGAGACTAGATGGATTGTTCCGAGATGGCGAGAGCCTTTTAGATACACTGCATCTTCCCCCAGCTCAGAGTTCAGTCTGCAAGACTCAGGGGCCCACAGAGTTCAAGTTGGTCCAGATATAATTTAATTTCTGCATTTGCATTCTCTTCTCCATCCAATGAGTCCCGGAATGCCCAGGAAGGCTGCAGGTTTAGCGCGGTGGGGAGGAAGAACTTGGAAAATCTTCCGACGTCAGGCACTACGAAGGGTGGTATTGTCAGTGTGCCGTGGAAAGAGAAGAGGAAAGAAGAGAAAGCCAGGCACAGCCATCACTGAAAAAGAGAGAGGCGCATGGCACCTTCATACTTTTGCCAAGCTTTCTTGATTTTATGCCTTAAAAAATGAAACATATAATAACAAAACCTAATTAATGTTTGAATTATGAAGTAATTGAGTAGCACAGTGGTGGTAGTCAGAATAATGGCCCCTCAAAGATGTCCATGTCCTAATTTCCTGGGAGCTGTGACTTTGTAACATTACATGGCACGATGGAATTGGCAGGTGGGATTAAGTTAAGGATCTTAAAACAGGGAGATTATCCATTTGGGGGTCAATGTAATCACAAGGGTCCTTGTAAGTGAAAGGGTGGGGGGTGGGGGCGAGAGAGCATCAAAGAGAGATATGCTGCTGGTTTAGAAGATGGAGGAAGGGGCCACAAATCACAAAATGCAGGCAGCTTCTAGAAAAGGATGGAAAAGTCAAGAGAACACATTCTCCCCAGGAGCCCCCAGAAAGGAACACAGCCCTACTGACGTACTGATTTTAGCCCAGTGAATCCCATGTCAGACTTCCAACCTGTAAGATAATAAATGTGTATTTTTTAACCAACCAAGTTTATGGTAATTCAGTACAATGGCCATAGGAAACTTACACCATAACAAATGCAATATATCAAGTATTTTGTGGGAAGACCTAAGTGTGTATCAAATGTAAGCCAGGGTGTTCAAGGGAAATATTCCCTGTGTATACTGAATAAAGTGAGAAGGAGTTTCTAGGGCAAAGAGGAGAAAAAGGGGCATTCTAGTCTGTGGGGTGAGGGTGTGTGTGGGGTGGGGTAACAGGAGCAAAAGGGAAAAAAGGGAGGACCTAGAGTGGGTTTGGAACACTACAAACCATGCATCTTGCTAGCAAACAACATGGCAAGAGATGAAATGGGAGGGATGGGGAATTTCTCTACTTTGGGAAGAGGCTTAGGCTTTAAAATCAAGGTAATGAGGTGTTTTAATGAAAGGTGGTGGAGGTGGTGGTGGTGGTGGTGGTGATGATGGTGGTGGTGGTGGTGGTGGTGGTGTGTGTATGTATTGGGGGCTAAAATGACATGGTAAGATTTACATTTAAAAATATATTTTACATATAATTTTCTTTTAGCCAGTAACCCCCAAACAGAAATAAACAAGAGTGATTGCAAATATGATCCCCAGTCTCAATGTCACAGGTAGAGGCTCTGAGTGTGGTGCTTGACTCATAGTCTGGGCAACAGGGTGTAGTTTGCTTCAGGAGGGTAGACTGCATCTGGTGTTTTCTTCTGGCCCTAAATCCCTCCTCTCTAGTGGGCTCCCCACACGGAGTCATAGTAAGAGGATTTATTCAATGAGGGTGCTGACAGTGGTTTGGGGATGCTCTCGTCCCTTTACAATCTCCATCAGACCAACCCAAGCCATTCCAAAAAATACATAATACTAATAATTTATTTTAAAATATGGATAATCTTAGGTAAAGGGTGAAGAAAAGCTACTTTAGACAATTTGGCTATTTAAAATGATTGGTACATATTCTGTCATAAAAATAGCAATCAAATACTACAGCTGTAAGAAAAATCCATAAACATTGACAACCCTCTTCCCCAATTTCTAACCTCTAAGGCACACCACTGGAATTTTTTACATTTAAGGATGGTTTATGGATTCTCCTGAACAGCACTATGTAGGTTGTTTACATTTCGTAATTCTACATTCTCGTTAATCCTGAGTGGTTCCTTGTTCCACTCTATACAAGATGCATGAAAACTACCTAGGTAACAGTACATTTGCAGAAGTATGATATACAGGTAGTACTTCATACTGATCGGAATTATTCCTTTCAGTGATAATAAAGTTTCCCATCTCCCCCCAGAAAAGTACACAGTAATCTCACCTTCACCTCTGATCTTTTCAATTTCTTCTGGGATATGGTTGAGCTTCAACACAAAATTTTTCTCTTAACTATTATTATTTTTAGTAACTTTGTCAAAACATACTTGAAAAATAGAGAATCACTTAGCTCTGTGGTGCTAGATTACTCTTTGGGCCATCCATTCTGTGTTTACCTGGACTAATGGGGTACATTTCCCTCTCCAGGAAGGATTAAGGCCAGGAAGAGAGGTGAATGTGTCTCAGAAAGCAGGGCAGCATCAAATCTGACCCAGATCTCAGCTCAGAAGGAAATGTGGTGTTTATGGGATGAACTTACAAATGCAAACAGGAGCAAATCAAAGCAATATAACAAAGGATCCTCAACAGCTGGATTTCTTCAATGTTTAAAGTTGTTATAAACATCCATGGCTAACTTTGGAACATGGTTTGTCAGTAAATATACATACTCGTATATCTATTTAATAAAACCATAAGGATAAGTTAACCAAAACTTACCTAAGAAACATCAACTTTCACTTCTTCAATTGGGTCCCAATCCACAAGTTCATCACAAACATACTACACCACACATACACACACACACACACACACACACACACACACACATACACACACAGACACACACACCTCACCATCACCACCATCACCACCCATTACTTTTCCCTTCCTCTTACAGTGGTGGGAATCAGCAATCACAGGATTCCCAGAAAGATTCTGAACAGTTCTCATATATTAGAGGATTTGGCCTGCAGTTTTCCAAATCTGTTAAATGTGGGAGGGGTTGATTAAATAATTAGGGAGCCCCCCCCCAGCCCTAAAAGTTTATGAACTTTCAAAGGGACTTAGGAGCCAACCTGAAAGACTTCCCCGTGGTCAAAACTAGAACCATTTGAGCAACAAAATAAATAATGTAATATTGAATTAGAGCTCAAGTATAAAACAAATATATTTTATATACCGATGTAAATGATTGAATAGATAAAAAAATGGGAGAAAAGAAACAAATCTTCTTTACAGGGTAATTACAAATAATATATGTAGATACAGCCCCACCCCCACCCCCAGAAGGTGGAGTTTTATTCCCCCCACCCTTCTCACTTGAGTATGGGCTGAACTCAAGAAGAAGAGACTGTGGAAAGAGTGGGAAGGGGAAAACAGAGTAACTCTGCCTCGGAGAAATCCGGCAGACACTACTTGAACCAAGTGATTGAGGTTAACATCAGCAGCAGTAAGTGCCGTTGTCCCTGTGCCCCTGATAGAATGCTGTGACAGAAAGCCACTTCACCTCTGTGGTCTTCCTACACCGATCCCATAACCACAGCCCAATCATGGGGAAAACACCGGACAAAACAAATAGAAATATCCACAAAACAGCTTGGCAGAATTCTTCAAAATCCCAAAGTCAAGAAAAACAAGAGAAGGCTAAGAGGTTATTACAGATCAGGGGAGACTGAAGAGACTGGACACTAAATGCCGTGTGGAATCCCAGGTGGGATCCACAGAAAGCTTTCTGGGGAAAACCAGTGAAATAGGCATAGAGTTTATAGTTACGGACAAAGCGAATTTCTTACTTTTGACAAACGTACCATGGTAACGTGAAACGTGACTATGAGGGAATAACATCTGAGCGGTTTAGGGAACTCGGTACTATCTCTGCAACTTTTTCGTAAATCTAAAATTACTCCAAATAAAAAAGTTTAATTATACACAACAAAACTAAAAGTGTATGAACTTAGTGCAAACAGAACCTTCTTTAAAAAGCAGCAGCAGCTATCCCCCATATTCCTACTGAGGGGTGCAGTGTTCGGAACTTGTGTTTTCACGGTGCAGGCAGTGCACCCCGGGGTGTGTGGAGCAGGGCGTGTGCGTCCGGGCGCAGCAAGAGCCCAAGCTCCTCCCCGGAGCCACCCCGGCGCCGGACTCTGCCCCGGGCGCGCCCTGCAAGGCGGAGCCCAGTCCTCCGGCGGCGGAACCACCATTGGTCCGGCGCAGCCGGTCCAGGCCAGAGGCTGGAAAGCGCAGGGAAGGAGCTGAGCCGGGACCCCGCGCGCGCTGATCGCCCTCAGTCTGGGTAGGTGATCCCTGGAGATCTGCGGCCCCTGCGGTGGGCGCCAGGTAACCCCCCCACCCCGGTGAGTGGGTGTTTAGGTGCCGTTGGAGTGGGTTCCTCCAGCACAGATCGTTACACCAGGAGCATTTCCCTGTCAACAGGTCCGGAGAGCATTCCTCCTGGTAAAGCTCTCTTCTGTGCTCGGATTCCCTGGGCGAGAAGGTTCTGCTCCCCTAGGAAGAGAATGCGTTGCCTTTCCCTGAGAAAGGATCACCCCTCCTTAGCCCCACGCACAGCTGGTTATTTAGGTTGCTGGTATGCAGTCCCTTTGCCGGGGACCCTGCGATTTCTGCTTGCTAAATTCCGAAGCGGTGGAGAAAGCCCTTCAGAAAACTTGCTGTCATCTGTGAACCCCCGCGTCGTGGCTTTGAAAGGTCACAGGTCCCCGTAATGTTTCAGAGCACAAAAGAACAAATGAATGAAGGTGGTTGTCTTGCCCTTCATTCATTCGTGCTGGCTTCTGGAACTGCAGGTGTAGCGGAAGGAGAACTGACATAGGCTGACAGCTTTCTGCTGTCGGGGGATGTCAGGGCTGGAAATTCCAGAGCCCTAGACGGTTGTGCAAAGGGGCAGTGTCAGCTTACTGAAAGGACAGGACAGCACAGTGCAAGGGGAGATTTTAGACTGGATGATGATATGGCTGTGATTTTCAGCCTTTTTCAGAAGGAAAAAAAAAGTGTAGAGAAAGAGAATATAGGGGTCGGGAGAAGCAATTAGCTCCCAACATAACTGAAGTTGTGTCTCTTCACCACTACACTATAGTTGTTTGATATAGTTGTTTGAAAGTATGACACAATACTTTCTTGGCATCTATAGACTAGATGATGTGTGGAAATACAAAAGGAAATTACTGTATTCTGCATTTGCAACAGGGAAAACATAATCTGTCTTTTTTATTTTACCTAATGCCATTAAATATTCAGTTCTGCGGAAGTCTGGCTTTTCAGAAATTTGAGCTGAGCTGGCATCTCAAGTACCCTGGCTGACACAATTGGTGCTGTTGTTTCCTGTCGCTAGACTGTCCACCTCCCCCGACACACAGAGAGTGAAGGTCCCTGACACAGAACAGAAGAATTTGTGCTTAAGACGGGGAATGCTCTAGAAGTGGCTCCTCAATTTATAGACAGAATGAAAACAGTTCCCACTTCCTGTGACCCAGGCAAACTTCTTAAGAAGTTTTGTGATTTGCTAAATAACTTAAACCTGGGCTAACTAAAAAGAGGCTTTTGAAATACAGACACTTTTTAAGTTGCATTATTCACCTTTATGATTTCGTGAATTATTACAGGCATGTTATTTGTTAGTTTGTTGATTGAAATAATAAATGGGCGTGATTTGTAATCCAAATTCTGGCCAAAGATGAAAAATATAAGCTATATTTGCCCAAAACTGGAAAATGAGGTGTATATTTATTTGCTTGGGATAAGGACTGAAAAGGGAAAGAATTGAAGATTTTGGAGGCAATTTTAAAATCTGTGAAAATTAGTTTGTCTCAAATCTTTTGAACTGAGATATTTATATCAAAATTATATGGCCATTTATTTACTGAAAAAACTTTATGATGGCAAAATGTTACTATCAATGTAATAACACATTTAAGTCAGTTTGCATTTTATTAAGCATGAAACCTTCATATGTTCGGAAAACAAAAGCATGTATGTGTTTCCATTGAGTTTTAGGAAACATTTGGTGCATCTGGATTTTGGGCCAATTGATACATTCATTGAACCAATATTTTTTGAGCTCCTAATGTACAGGACACTATGTTCTGTGTTGGAGACACAGGGGGATCTAGAGCTGTGTAAATAAGACACAGTCCCATCCTCATGGAATTTATACAACATTGGAAACTTCCAGGACACAGGAGACCATAGATTAAGGAACCCCATCAGTGATCATCCATCAGTTTGACAGTGACTGAAACTAGATTATTCTTCAAATCATATACTCTCTTACACTGATTTAAGTAGTCAAATCTAAAAACTGTAAAGCAACTTACATGTTATTCGGGTCAGTGGATTTCTTTTTTTCATAGTTGGGGACGAACTCAGGAATCATGTATTTAGGGTTTCATATGACATTGAGGACGGCATTTAAATATATAGACGCAAATCTGTGTCACTGGCCCACAATGTGATATTATGAAATATTGAGATATTAAACTTAAAATGACTAAATATCACTTTGAGGCAGATTAAATAAAAACTAAAGTTGTTGTAATGGATGCCAGTAATTTAGGGGGAAATGAGTGAAAAACTTCAAATCAAGGAAATTCTATCAAATTGTTTTTTCTTGTAAATTGGAAAAATATGACTGCAATTAGATTTTACCCCAGAGGAAAAGAGACTTTAGTCAAAGCATTCCTACTTTTCTTTCTTTCTTCCTTCCTTCCTTCCTTTCTTTCTTTCTTTTTTTTTTTTTGCTGTTCTTTAAAACAGCTTTATTAGAGGTATAATCTACATACCATAAAATACATTCAAGCATACAATTCAATAATTTTTAGGAAGTTTATAGGGTTGTAAAATCCAATCACCACGATCCAATTTTAGAACATTTCCATGATCTCAAAAAGATCCCGTGTGCCAGTTTGCAGTCACTTGCTATTCTCACTCCCAGCCCCAGGCACCCACTAATCTTTCTCTCTTTAGATTAGACTTTTCTGGACATTTCATATAAATGGAATCATATAATATATGGCCTTTAGCATCCGGCTTCTTTAACCTAACATAATGGTTTTGAGGTTCACTCAGGTTGTAGCATGTGTCAGTAGTTGGTTTCTTTTTTATTGCTAACTAATGAATATTCATTCCACTGTATGACTCTAACACATTTTTGTTCACCAGTTGGTGGCCATTTCTGCAATTACATTTAAGTGGTAAGACAGATACATTGGTCTAGCTTCCGTATAGCATAAGTTGAAAATAACTGATAGAAGCCAACCTGGTATGTATATTTATGAAAAATATATTCCTGGTATGGATTAATGATGTTTATGGAATATGACATAGCTGTGATCTTTCCGTGATACTCCCATGAATATTGTAAATAGAAATAAAAAGATAAAAAGAACCCTCAGTTCTGTGCAGATAAAAAGAACCATCAGTCATTTAGTATTCTAGGTTGGACTTGGAAGGTGTTTAATTCTTGACATTAATGTTTGGAAAGAGCATACGTCTCCTTTGCTACATTTTTTTTTTTTTTTTTGCAGATGACATGCATTTACAGTGGGGGAATTTTGAATGATTGTTTGACCTAACAGTGATAATGGAAGTACTAAAAACACAAGTGTTCCTTAATAACGTAATTTTAGTGGTACACTTAACATAAAGCATGAATCACCTGTAGCCTTTAGCCAAAACCTAGAAGAGGATGTGTCTGGATTTATGTGCTTTTATTATTCTGTAGTTTCTATGACTGTGCTAAAGAATGAAACTGATATGATTGTTTCTGTATTTACAAAATTAGGCATTTTCTCTTAGATCAGAGAAAATCCAAAATGGAAGAAATGCCACTCCGTCTTTCTCTGGGGCTTTATTTGGAGCTTGACCAAAATCCTAAATTATTGAGGTTCCTGTGAAGCGGTACTGTTTTTCTGTGTGTAATCTGGAGAACAAAGCAAATACGAACGTTCTAACACTGCAAAAGCGCTGATTTTGGCTATACCTCTCTTAGCAATCAGGAGCCTTGAACAGCAATTCAGTCAGAGCTGTTTTCTTATATACCCCCATTCACCCAGCTTTGTGCCAACTACTATATGATAACTGAATTTTTAGGACAACCAACTTACTTTTAAAGATCCCCTTAGGAAGACTTCTTCAGTGGAGTAGAAGCCCTCCCTTAAATATAGGTAGATTCTGTGAAGTTAATGAGAAGACAGTGTGTCTCTGAGTGCCTGTAAGTTACTGCTGAAATTGCAAGTTCCTTTTGGGGAAAAGAGAGCATTCACATACCTTGAAGGTCTCAGTTTATTGACAACAGAGAATACAAAGAATTTTATCTTTAAAGTTCTGAATTTTGAAAACAAGAGAGACTAAGTTAAATGATATAGTTTCCAAAGCCAACTGTGCCCCTTTGGAGGTCCGTTTTTCTGCTTACAATATCAAAACAACTTGCAAAAACCCCTAGGTGGATACGTTACTGTTTTCATGATATCTGTATTCAGATGAACTGATCAAATCTCTGTTGGTAATGTCTTTTTTTTTTTTTAACTTGGTAAGGCTTTACAATTTTCTAGCACAGATGTGTTTCTCTAGTCATGCTGACAATTTCATTCCAAATGTCTCCTAAGAGTCATATACCAATTACAGGAATCCAGCTTCATCCTCACTTTCATGCACTTTGAAATCAGATTGGACATGCCCTCCAGAAAGAAGGGTCCATCAGCGCTGAGCTGTAAGCATCTTCTTATGATTTTGATGAGCTCACACACTCATCATTCATGTTGACATGATGTGGTATAAGGAACTTGGTTTCACCCAGAACCCGATGCTGTTCCTCACTCTTGTATCTTGCTATTATCTCCCAGATTTTGGTAGGATGCTGCCCTCACATTGGTTTGACATCTTCCTGGCATGGCAGGGTGGGAGAAGTCGGCAGCCACCCTATTAAATAGACTTTGTAGCCACTGATCAGACAGTCTACAGGCAAATGAGCAACTGTGAAGGATAAAAACAGTTATGCATCTGGAAAACGATTAAGAGGAATGGGTAGAAAGATAAGGAGTTCTAGGTTCACGTTTTAGATTTAAATTTTGTTGTTGCAAATATTCTTATATACTTCTTATAGTATATGCCCTCCTACTGTTCCACCTTAGTACATAATAAGTATAATTAACTTTCTTAAGATGTTTAAGATATTCCCTTGTTTCTGTCACCATATTGAATGTCAGGCTTCATTAACTATTCTTGTAGCAGCAACAGTTCTACCTACCTTTCAGTAAGTAGGCCAGTTATCTCCTTTTT